CAGTTGAGAAAACACGCTGGTGGTACAAGGCCGTGAAGTCAGGCTTGGCTAAAGTTACAGCGCCCCTTGCTGTGATGCTCAGAATGCAGCTTGCGCTTGCGTTGCGTTATGAAATGCGTCGTGACACATTTTTGAACGCAACTACGTGTGAAACCCCCTCAGTGTAGCTCGAGGCGTTTGCATTCGCGTCCTTGCGTGAAGTTTCGGGCCTTATGTAGCTGTCAGCTTTTGAATTTAGCTTGAGCTTGTTTTATGCATTTGCTAACAGTGAATAACCTTTTTAAAAATTCACTGTTTTACTGAACTGTAAATTAAAAATTATTAAAAAATGCGCTCTTTTACTGAACTGTAAATTCCTGATAATACAAAAGATAAATAAAACTCCAAAATCTTTTTCCTGTCAAAATTTAAAACCAAGAATGTGCAAAGTAGCAGCAACAGTTTTCCCTTAATCTTATTTTTAGTACATTTAAAAATAAAATCTTTCTGAATTAAAATTTACATTTAAACAGTGCAGTCTGTGCTTTGTACATTCTGCTGTCTGTCTACACTCTGCAGAAACTTTATTGAAATGGAGGAAAGTCAGCATCTCTGCATGCTCTTGTGAGAGACTCGCTGTCCTCTGAGAGCAGATATTCCCTCCCTGCTGCAGAGAAGACGCGCTCTGATGGAGCGGAGGGGAAAGCGGCGAATGTTTGTGGCAAACTTCTCTATGAACAGTTAAATTTGAATGATTTTGTGTAAACATTTCATTTTAACGAAAAACCTTTGTTCCCTTTCAGTTCATGGAGAACTACCTCCTGAAACTGTTCGCGAGTCGTGGTAAACGTTCGTGGAAAACAGAAAACCGCTTGCAAACGTTCTCCTTTGTTCGCCCAATTTGAACGCACTGTTGGCCTCAACGACAAGACAGCAGTGAATTGTTTAAAACTGTAAGCGTCTATTTTACACTAATGTACTCGTGAATGTTTTGAGTTGTAATAATCAAACATGTTAGGAAAATATCAGAGAGTGTCTGATCACTGTAGAGCTCAATCGGAAAGCTAAAGAGAGACTCGTTTCGCCTCTCGCACCACCAGATCATCTGTGCTGTCGATCGCTTCTGATGGAGCTCCAGGCCTGGGGTCAGATGTCGGAAGGGGCGAAGTGGGATTAAAATCCGGCAGAATGTCTTGTAGTGTAGCCCCAGCTTTACAGTCAAGTCGATAAACATTTGGACATTGACAGAATTCTTGTGATTTTTGCTGTCTGCCGCAGCATATTAGAGTTATTAAATTAGTAAATTAGCAGAGTTTAAATAAGTGTAAATTAACTAATGAACATGAGCTCAAAGTGATGAGCTCAGACTTTCAGCTTTTATTTAAAGGCTTTTACATCCAAATCCGGTTAACAGTATAGGAATTACAACAATTTTCATACATATACTCCCCTCTCCGTTTGGGGAACGTGGATATACTAGAGCAGGGGTCTTTAATTAAAATTCAATAAGGTCCAGTTAGAGAAAATTTCCTCAAGCAAAGGTCCGAAACCTCATAATGTCTAACTTGTATTATGACTCAGTGCCGTATACTGTTTACTGAAGTAGCCTAGTAGGTATATCAACATCTTCAACAACTGAATGTAAAATCAAATAAAGTACAATTCAGTCATATTTCAACAACATTTATCGTCAGTTTTCTGTTTTTAGAGCACGACATGTGAAATAACTTGCCTCTGACTCACTTTCCTCTCTGACTGCTGTTTCTCGCCTCGTCCCTCCCCTGTGTGTGTGTCACTCACTCAAGTCTCATCGTAATGCACAGATCTGATTGGCTGAGTAGCGTCACGTGTCATATTTACAACGTATGCGATTGGTCTGTGAGTCTCCCGGCCGCTAAAGCTACCGCAAAGGCTAGAAAAGTTATAGGACCCTGTCGAAATCAAATAATTCTCCATAGTTTATCGGTTACAGGTCTAGGTCCGCATAGGACAGTGTCTGGGTCCGGACTCGGACTGCGGTCCGCCTATTAGTGACCTCTGTACTAGAGTATCTTTTTGTTCTAATGAGGAATCATGACATAAAATGAACAAACAGGCTGGTTCCTCATCAGTAAATGAGTAAGACAAGGCCTGTTTTCACCATACTTGTTGAAATTTTATGCTGAGCATATAAAAAGAGAAGCAGGGCTGGATTTAGGATTGAAATGCACATGATACAATACTCATAGCAGTAAATCAGGAAGACCTGAAGGCCAGAACTTCAGCTCAGGATGAAGAAAACAAAGGTTTTTCTTCACCGCTGCTGTTGTTGGTGAAGATGTAGAAGCAGTGGACAGCATTTCACTACTGCCTCAAGCCTCATCTCTCACTCAAATCCCAAACTGAAGCTCTTATTTTTGACATCTTGTATGAAGAACCAAGTCATTTGGACATTAAACAGTTATGTTTGGAACAGAAGTAGAAAGTTAGAAGTTGAAGTAAAAGAGGAAGAGGACAGCCAGCAACAAGATGCATAGAGACAATCGCGTGAAAACGATATTAAGAAGCCTGAAGACTCAAACAGAACCATCCATCTATATGGTCACGAGTGCGAGACAAGAGTCAGAATCCACTTAACTGCACTTAATATTCTATGCTGCTGGAAAGTGTAGCGCAATAAACAGTTTTCGGAAATTGCTGTACAGTTGAGATTCATTGGAGGCAGGATGTGGATCTGCGCTTAACGTGTTAACTGTTCCTGTTAACTGTAACGCGGTAAGACGTTGTTTGGCTTGCCTTGCTGTCATGCAACCGTTGATGATTAGCCATTATTTCTTTCCCAGTTTGTTACACACATCCGAGCTCCTGCCGGGCTTGAACATTGTTAGGTGGCAGTTCAGAATGGAAGTGTTGACAGCTTGGATTCACACCACCGTTTGAATCCGAGTGGGAAAGCAGTCATGGAGATGTCAGTCATCCCTAGAGTGGCATTTTATTCAGCTTATTTTTTTCAGGCTCTGCTTGTATGAGAGTGATGCTAATCTGGGCTGATGTCAAGGTGGCCAAAATTGTCCTGACAAACTGCCAAAACTGCCAGTTACATCGCCGCTCTGTCTGTTGTGAGTCCTGTCATGCTGTCATTTGGATGGGGACTGTTGGAATGTGTTTATATACTTAAATGGGTCTCTCCCTTTTCCGTGTCCTTTTCTGTTGGCATGGTGGAAAGATGGCTGTAAAATAGGGCTGCAAAAGATGGATATTTTGATAATTGATTATTAGTGTGAATGAATCGACTAATAATCCGTTAATCGGTTTAAATGTGGCCTGTATGAAATGCTTCACTATGTTGGTTTGGCATTTCACCAAGAGCTAATTAGCCACCATGGACCAAAATATGTGGTGTGTTGTTTAAGCCCATCATTTTAAGCTACGGTGAGTAACACATAATAACACAAATAAGTGATATAATAATAAATATGCAGATTAATGTTACAGTTCTTCAGGCTGCAGCGTCATTTAACCAGTTTAACATTTTAACGTACTACTTCACTAGACGAGCTCTGTGTGATCAGCTTTCCAGGATGAGCAGATGGCATTTTTTTCAGGTGAAAACTTTGTAGTTGTATTTAAGCTAATTAAGCAGCTGTGTGTAGTTAGCTCGCTAATGTATGTAGTGCTGTGACAGGATGATATCAACTGATATGAATTAGAATATTTCCAGTAAGCATTTATTTGTAAAAAAAAAAAAAATTAAACAAATAAATAATACACTGGGATTGTTCTATTTGAGTGTGTTAGCATAATAATTATTAACAGTTACCGTACAATGCCTAGTTTATCTAATCAATCCTTCATTAAATTAAATCAGGTGCTGATGGAGTTGAACAAAAACATTTTTCTTTTGTTTTACTGTATTTATGTTAATTTATATTTATTGTTAAATACACTTAATGCTGAGATAAAGACTTTTAAATCTTTTTCATACACCTTTTGCACAGGACTACACAGAAAATGCAGCGAGTCATTTAAAAGTCTGTCTTTGTCTGTTTAAAAGTCTGTTTAAAAGCGAGTCCACTTCGTCATTTAAAGATTATTTGAGTTGCAAGTCATCTAAATTCCTGTGTCATTTATAGGCGAGTCCAAGTCAAGTCCTGAGTCATTTAAAGGCGAATCAGAGTCAAGTCCTGAATCATTTAAATATAAGTCAGAGACAAGTCCTGAGTCATTTAAAGGTGAATCCGAGTCAAGTGCTGAGTCATTTAAAGGCGATTCAGAGTCAAGTCCTGAGTCATTTAAAGGCGAGTTCGAGTCAAAGCCTGAGTCATTTAAAGGTGAGTCCGAGTCAAGGCCTGAATCATTTAAACGCGAGTCCGAGTCAAGTCCTGAGTCATTTAAAGGCGAGTCCGAGTCAAGTCCTGAGTCGTTTAAAGGCGAGTTCGAGTCAAGTCCTGAGTCATTTAAAGGCGAGTTCGAGTCAAGTCCTGAGCCGTTCAAAGGTGAGTTCGACTCAAGTCCTGAGTCGTTTAAAGGCGAGTTCGAGTCCAGTCCTGAGTCATTTAAAGGCGAGTCTGAGTCTAGTCCTGAGTCATTTAAAGGCGAGTTTGAGTCAAGTCCTGAGTCGTTTAAAGGCAACTTCGAGTCAAGTCCTGAATCATTTAAAGGCGAGTCTGAGTCAAGTCCTGACCCATTTAAAGGTGAGTCCGACTCAAGTCCTGAGTCGTTTAAAGGTGAGTCCGACTCAAGTCCTGAGTCGTTTAAAGGCGAGTTCGAGTCAAGTCCTGAGTCGTTTAAAGGCGAGTCCGAGTCAAGTCCTGAGTCGTTTAAAGACACACAATATAGAAAACGTTCAGTAATGATTACTACCTTTACTATACTGTTATAACAGTGTAATACTGGAAATGAGGAGAATTTGCATGGTGAAATATTCTCATAAGACAGTGTGTTGATCTGAGTGGATCTTTATCCAGTGCATTTTAATGTGTTTTACCTTGATTTGTCCTGGAAAGACCTGTTTTAAAGGCTTTATGTTCCTGTATCACCAGGTGAACCTCGGTAGCCATCAGTACCTGTTCACTGTGGACATAAACCCGTCTGAAATGCCGGCGTTCTGTCTCCGGCACGATGTGGACGCCCTGCTGTGGCAGCCGCGACCCGAGCAGCCCAATGACATGTGGGAACACATAGCAACCTTCAACGCACTAGGTGAGTCACAATCTCTGTGTACTGCTGACTCCCGCATACCTGCTGCTGCTTTAAATGTAGAAAAGTCAGGGGATCTGAATCGCAGCTCTTGTGGATTTTACCCAGCGGCAAGTCAAAAACAAAACGGTGACTCATGAACCTGGCCATTAAATGCAGCATGCCATCATGACGTACAGCAATCATGAATAGACATTATTTATCCTATTTTTATCTCTGTTAGAACACAGTGCATTGTACTAGCCACAGATTTTCACAAGTCGCTTTGTGCGAGTCTGAGTCGAGTCTCGAGCTTTTAGTAGAAAATTTTAGTTTAGTCTTGTTATTAGCTGCATTGTACAAAAGCAAACCCTACTAAAACCCTGTCAGGTTTAATACAGCCTTAAATACAAACTTTTCATTAGAGAAAAAAACCTGCAGAACAGAACTGAAGCTCTACACACAGTAAATGTGGTGTTTAAAGAACAGAAACAAAACCTGAAACTGTAGGTTAGTCTGTAGTTTGCATAGCAACTATACAAGTCATAGTCCAAGTCGAGACACGAGTTGTTTAAAGGTGAATCTCAGTTGAGTTGCGAGTTGAATCGCGGATAATATAATTATAAGCCTGAGTTGAGTCGCAAGTCATTTAAAGGAGAGTCTGAGTCAAATCTCAAGTCATTGAAAGGCGAGTCCGAGTCAAATCACAAGTCTCAGCATGTGCTGGGTCGAAATGAACCCTTTTCAGGATTCAGTGTCTCTAAAATACCATTGATGAAATGAATGTGTAAAAATGTGATTGAAAAAAAATGGCAATTGAGAATGCAGCAGTTTGGAGAAACAGAGTGAGATAAAGTTTATTACTTTGGTAAGGCTTCACACACACACACACACACACACACACACGCGCGCGCACACGCGCACACACACACACACACACACACACACACACACAGACTTCATGGCTCCATCTTTTGTGAAGGCCCACATTTCTCTCTGTGTATTTTAATCTGCTGCCACCATTATGGCTAAAAGGAGACTTGCAGTCTGTGAAATCCCTGAAATGATTAATCAAGAAAATGGCTGTGATTTACAAGATGCTGATGGTGAAATAGAAGAAAAGGCATCTGAAACAGAGAACAATGCTGAAATCAGTTCAGAGCATGAAGAATTATCCTCTGATGAGGGAACTGATGTGTAGCAAAATTCTTGATGTCAAAAAATGCACAAATAGCGTGGCCCTCATCCCCCTCTGAAACTCTTGGTAGAATGGCACCTTAAAATATAATCAGGTTGACCACAAGAGTAGCTTTACACCCAGTATATCAGTTTAAAAACCAATAAAACGCTGTAAAATGTGTTTCCTAATGAAAACGAATGTAATATATTAAGGCAAATAAGGTAATTGTGAGCAATAAAATATTTTAAAGTCTGATTTGTTGATGGGTTAAGTAGATGGCAAGTAGGCTTGAATAAAATAAACCAACATATGCTGTTGGACTGTTTAGAGGCGATTTAGCCATATAGGGTGAAAATTGACTCACAAACATCAGTCATGTAACAGATTCGAGAACATAATAGGAGTTGAGTCCAGTTCATATTGCAGTTCTGTTAAAAGTGAGTCAGATTCGAGTTGAGAGTCGTTTAAAGGGGAGTCTGGTTTGAGTTAAGTCAACGTGCATCTTGGTCTGAAGCTGGGCTGAACTTTTGTCAGGTGTACTTAGGCTCGGGTCAGGTTGCAGACCTCTAGTACGAGTCGCTGACTCAAGTCCCATCTCTGGAATGAACTCATCAGAATAAGAACGTCCTGCTCTCTGCTGTTGATCCTCGCTGCTCCTGCTCTCGCTGTCCTGGGTCTAAGGTGGGATGTATCAGTTGTACCCATGTTGTAACTGGAGTGGAATCCCATGAAGTATAAATGCTGCTTAGTGTGTAATTTTGGGTGAAGTCTTCTTCATCTTTAGTGTCTTTCAGAGAAAATTAACCAGCTTAATTTCCTTTTGCTGGCTGACAGTGTTGCTAAATAAAGGCAACAAAGATGAGTTCTAGCTGCCGGCTTCCCCCTTCACAATGTGACTAATTACCGTTTCCCTTCTGCTCAAACGCTTTCATTCCAGACTTTCAATACATTTTAGTTTTCCAGTAACTCTTAATGAGTTTGATTTGCAAGGCTGCATTTGCTATTCTGAGTTTGAGTTATTTAAGGTATTTTAAGTTAGAGCAGCATTTTTGGCCAAAAAAGGTCAAGAATCAAAGCAGGAAGATCATCCCATCCATGTATACCATACGCAGTGAAAGGAAATGATGTTCTTGCAGAGCCTTGTAACGTATAAGGCAGTGCTAATTTTACTAAACTTTTACTACAACAAAGTGGGATGTATAAGAATGTGAGTACTAAGCAACATTAATGACCTGAGTGAATTAACCATGTAAATTACATGAAAATACTTTATATGACTACATTTATATGAATACAAAAATATCAGTCAATTAAAATTCGCCCCTTCAGTGAATCAGCAGTGATTAGTTGTTTAGTTTTGAATTCAGTAAGTAATGGATTCTGGTCACATCCATTTATAAATGGATCCTTATACTGAGTCGGAGTTCGAAACATGTACATTAGCATTCAAAAGTTTGGAATCACTCTTTTCATTATTGTAAAACCAATCTTGCTGCAGAGAAATGCATAAAATGATTTTAATGTGCTCATAAGGTAAGATAATCCTTTATTAGTCCCACAGCGGGGAAATTCACAGTGCTGCAGCAGCAAAGAAATAGCAAGGCACTCAAGTGATTAGTAGGACTCTAGGCAGCTATAAATAAAAATGAAGAAATGTTGAGTGTATCCACAATAACAAACAGAAGATTGTAAAATGACCGTGAAAGCAGTATAGAATCGAGAATTAAACTAACATAAAATGTATCATACACTATATGGACAGACATTTTGGGACCACCTACACCTCACACCTACATGGGCGTTTATGACACCCCATTCTAAATCCATAGGCATTAATATGGAGTTGGTCCCCCTTTGCAGCTGTAACAGCTTCCACTCTTCTGGGAAGCTTCTACAAGATGTTAGAGTGTCTGTGGGAATTTCTGCCCATTCATCCAGAAGAGCATTTGTGAGGTCAGACACTGATGTTGGACGAGAGGGTCTGGCTTGCAATCTCCGTTCTAGTTCATCCCAAAGGTGTTCTATCGGGTTGAGGTCAGGGATCTGTGAGGGTCAGTCAAGTTCTTTCACACCAAACTCACCCAGCCATGACTTTATGGAGCTGCTTTGTGCACTGGGGCTCAGTCATGCTGGAACAGAAAAGGTTCTTCCCCAAACTGTTTCCACAAAGGAAGCATATAATTGTCCAAAATGTCTTGGTGCTGAAGCATTAAGGTTCCCTTCACTGGAACTAAGGGTTCTAGACCAACCCCTGAAAAACAACCCCATAGCATCATCCCTCCTCCACCAAACTTTACAGCTGGCACAGTGCAGTCAGGCAGGTAACGTTCTTCTGGCATTCGCCAAACCCAGACTCGTCCATCAGACTGACGGATAGAGAAGCTGATTCATCACTCCACAGTTTCCACTGAGTCCAGTGGCGGCGCTTTACACCTCTCCATCTGACGACTGGCGTTGTGCTTGGTAATGTAAGGCCTGCATGCAGCTGCTCAGCCATGGAAACCCTGCCATAAAGCTCCTGGTGCAGTTTTTGTGCTGATGTTGATGTCAGAGGAGGTTTAAACTCTGCAGTTATTGATCAGCAGAGCGTTGAAGACTTTTATGCTCTATGCTCCTCAGCACTCGGTGACCCGCTCTGTAACTTTACATGGTCTTACACTTTGTGGCTGAGTTGCTGTGGTTTCTCAACGCCTACACTTTTCAATAATACCACACACAGTTGTCGTGGACTGTCTAGAAGGAAAGAAATTTTGTGACATGACTTGTTGCAACGGTGGCTATTACAGTACCACACTTGAATTCAGTGAACTCTTCAGAACAACCCATTCTTTCACAAATGTCTGTAAAGGCAGACTGCATGGCTAGCTGCTTGATTTTGTACACCTTTGGCAATGAGACTGAACGAAACACCTGAATTCAATGATTAAGATTCGAATACTTTTGTCCTAATAGTGTAGTTATAGCTCAGGACAGATAAAAAAAAAAGAAGAGAAAGATTGTAGTATGTTATATATACTTTTATTCACTTCTTGATGACCGCATTCTTGAAGTATGGAACGTAAACATCTTTTAGCCTACAGTTTGTAATATATTTGATTCCAAGTCCAAATGTTTCAATGTCAGTGTATGTTTTAATGAGGTCGTTTTAAAGGCCTTCTAGTTTATCTTTCTCCATTAAAGTATTTTGAATTTTTTTAAAGGCTATGCGTGGTTTATTATTGTCCACGGTTGTTATGTCTTGATTAATGTCATGAAAATATTTAGTAGATTAATATTACCAATGTTATCAATAGTGGCAACCCTAATATGACTCCATGACCTTTACTAGAGCATCAAAGTTTTAGGAGCATCAAAGTTTTACTGAATTTGCATGTGTTGTCAACAAACATTGGGAATGATTAGTGATTAATAGCTGTGTCCACTCATTGTGCTGCCTTTCTCTCCCTCCTTGTCCAGGTTATGTTCAGGCTTCGAAGCGGGATAAAAAGTTTGCGACCTGCGCCCCCAACTTCTCCTACGCCGCGCTGGCCGAGTGCCTGAGGAGAGTCTTTATCTACCGGCAGCCGTCTCCAGTGGACACGGTGCTCTTCAACCGCAAACAGGGACGGCAGATCGGCCAGGTTGCCAAGCAACAGGTAGCCAGCTTGGAGTCCAGCGACCCTGTGCTGGGCTTCAGGGCCACTAATGAGAGACTGTTCGTTTTAACCCGCAACAACCTCTTTATACTCAAGGTGAATAATTAGATCTGCTATTCAGGAGTTCCACAGGAGGTGCTCCAACTGTCTTTTCTGAGACTGTACTTTTCAGAGGCTGCAGTGGAGAAAAAAGACCTAAAGTGATGATGATGGATTTCAGCATTGCTCATGCAGTCTGGATGCTTTTGTTCGATTGCTCACAGACGTCAGCAGCCCTTATATGAGGGTCCTGTTTGCAGAGGCAGGAGATGAGTTTGTACTATGTGTGTATTTGTCATGTTATCCATTATGAAAAAGCTTTATCTACATTCCTCCCTGCAAGGCTGCACACTGTTTTACAACTGTTTGTTACGCTGCAGAAATAAAGTAAAAGTAAAGAACTTACTTGGCTGGAACACATTAATGTCTAATCCAAAATGTCCCAGTTTTCATGTGTTTAGTTGTGGTTGAATAAGGCTCTGTTTATAATTGGCTATAAAGTGCATCCCATATCTGAATTTTACCCAAACGCGCATTTGAAAATCAAGTGCAACCCCATTTGTGTTAGTAGTGTGTTTAGATCTAGCTGTCCTGATACAGGTGTCAGGCAGGCGTTGACCCTTATTGGCCTAATTTGTGTAGAAACTACCACAGATTCATCTTACGGCATCCGATTCATGAAGTGGGCATACAGCATCAAAAGGAGTAGAGATTTCAATGCAAGCCGTTCTCGTGAAACCATTTCAATGTCCGTAAATATTTGAGTGTCAGTCATCATGCAAATAAAAATGTATTCATATAATTTAGATCACTTGGAGCTCTCTAAGGTACACCAAAGTACACAAGTTCAATTGTTTATTTTTCATTCAATTTACTTTCATTACTGCCGCGCACCCACATAGATATCGCTGTTGTCGGAAGAAAACCTTGTATCTCCGAAATGATAACTTCACAGGAGAAGGAAAAAACCTACTTTACTTTTAATGTAAGTCAATGGAACCAGACATCTTTACAAGTCATTTTGGGTTGTTTCTTTTGGTCAATTCTTCATGAAATGTACACACAATGTAAAGGGCAACAGGTATTTTCAAATTACGTCAAAACTAAAAAACAACAAAAATGGAGATATGAGGTTTTCTTCTGACAGCAGTGATATGGATCATGGTACTTAATTAGTTCAAACTGAGGTCCCAAGTCAAAAACCTAAACATTAATGGACATAATAATAAGCTAAATCTGTACAAAACCATCATTTATAGGGTTTCAGTTGCAAAATAGTGTATGTCTCAAACCATAACCCTTTAATTTACACAAAAGATCTTTTTGGCTCGTTTGAAAAACAATCCCATATCATTATCCCTCCTCAACCAAACTTTACAGCTGGCACAGTGCAGTCAGGCAGGTAACGTTCTCCTGGGATTCGCCAAACCCAGACTCGTCCATCAGCCTGACAGTGTGATTCATCACTCAACAGACATTCTGCACAGACCCATTACTTTTAAAGTGAAGTTGAAAGACTTTTAAATTAAAAAACGTCAAAAATGCTGTCCCATGTCTTCATGTCACTACCAAAACACAAAAAAAATTGTTTGTAGGCGGGGCCTTATTTCAGCCACACCCTCACTTTACAGAGCAGGAAGTAAGACCGCATCCCTGACCACATGGTGAGCAGTTGGATCCCATTGTTTTGAAGTAAATGTGTCCCGAAGTCTGAAAAACAGTGTGGGACATAGAATTGTCACTACAGAAACACAATTTTTTACAATTAAGTAAACTTTTTTGTGTTTTACAAAAAATATGATGATTTTCTGTGTACAGCTGTTCAGAGCTGTGTTTGCTGGTCATGTACTGGCTGCGTTTTTGAGTTCTGCTCAAAATGAGCTAAAAGTGTCAGTAGTGAAATATCTTGTAAAGTTTCGGCAGTGTTATGATTGTTTTGGTAGTAACAAAATGGAATATTCAGTCATTTATTTTAATAAACATATTAGGATTTTAGTCTAAAGTCCAAATCAGTTAAAAGTCCCAAATGTGTTTTCAACTCTGAACCAATTCGGCTGAGTGACTCATAATTTGCTATTTTTGATTAGAAAAAATGTGTTTGTGTTACTTTAACGAAAAGAACAAAATTTTATGTGGCACAAGTTTTTTTAAAAAAAAAAAGGAATCAGGACTAATTAAATTGTCAGATGATGCCATTTGGAATAGTCTGCCAACAGAAACTGACCAGTGATGATGGGACAGAGGACGGCACAACTCGTTAACCAGAAATTCAGTGTGTCCCAATTCAGGGGCTGCATCTTTTGGAGGCTGCATTTGAAGGCCGATTGCGTCACAGTGGCGCGACTAGGCCGTCCCATCTCAAAGCCTCCTTCATATGTGGCCGAGAAATGTGTCCTTCTTTTCCATGGCAATGAAGGATCCAACGGGTGGAACCTTCGGCAGCCAACATATCCCGAGGTTCATTGCCTACCGGCGAGGGTTCGAGAACATGGCGCCATCAACAGAGAAGCGAACGGCGGCTGAAGAGACACTTTTAAATATAAGTAGAAAGTAGTTGAGGCGAATGGCAAACGATACAAATGTAACGTAAAACAACTAAAATCAAAGTTTCTGGCTCCATCTTTAAAAAACTTTAAAATAGTTTGACAAGAATGGTGTTTTGTGGCGCAACAGTAAGGGTGGGAACAGTGGTGCTGTGACGCAAACAGAAAATCCGCCGTACCGTCTCATTTCGGTTCAGCCTTTGCAGGTCTAAGCAGCCCCTGAATTGAGACACACTCATTGTATTATTTTTATTTGTTTAGGCCTTAAAATGGTATTAGAAAACATTACATTTGAATTAAAAAATTGCGCAGCAGCTCTGACTGCACCATATCTCAGTAAATTGCACTTGTCATTGTCGTTGAGGCTGTCTGTGATATTGTTTATCTAACTTCTGGACATTACGAATGTTCTTTCGTATCCTCAGCTGAAAGGAATGTTCACCCTGCTGTCTTACCTGCTGTGGAAGCCTCATTTAGTTTGAGGCAGATTTAATCACTGCCTTCAGCTGAACAGTTGAATTAGCGTGCGGTGTGAGCTTTTAAAAGCAGCTGAATAGATGCTGCAGTTCAGCAGTCCAGCTGCTCGGTTAGGCTGTAGTGTTTTAGCTGCTGTGCCGGCACAACTGGACGACTAAGAGACATTAATGTCCTCCAACAATGGCATGAATGGAAACATGGTTTGGTTAATGCTTTTTACACACACTCTTAGGAGGGTTCTTTGGAGTACTGAGAGATTGTTGTACCAGAAGTTTGTGTGCCCCTAGTAGGACATTCCAGGCCCTTCCTCAAGAAGGGTCTGCGTTTGATTCCCCGGCCAGGTGACCAGGGCCCTTTCCATGTAGCAAGATCTCCCCGCATGAGTTTCCTCTGGGTGCTCCTATTTCCTCCCACAGTCCAAACACATGCAGTCAGGCCAATTGGACACACTAAATTGCCCCTAGGTGTGAATGTGTGTGTCTGTGTGTCTGCCTTGTGATGGACCGGCGACCTGTCCAGGGTGTTTCCTGCCTTCCACTTGATGACCACTCGGATAGGCTCCAGCAACCCCCCCCACCCATGACCCAGGAGGATAAGCAGCTTAGAAGATCGATGGATGATCAAATTGCATCCAGCAGCACTGCTGTGTCTGATCCACTCAGACCAGCACACACTAACACACTACCACCACGTCAGTGTTACTGCGGTGCTGAGAATGACTCACCACCCAAATAGTACCTGCTCTGTGGTGGTCCATGGTGGTCCTGAGCACTGAAGAACAGGGTAAAAGGGGGCTAACAAAGTATCAGAGAAACAGATGGACTACAGTCTGTAACTATAGAACTACAAAGTGCTCCTATATAGTAAGTGGAGCTGATAAAATGGACAATGAGCGTAGAAACAAGGAGGTGGTCAGAATGTTATGACTGATCAGTCTAGAACTGTTATTGTACCCATTGTACACATAGAATCTGAGACACCTGAAAAAGTGCAGATGTTCATCAGTGACATTTTAAAATTTGCTTTGCGTGATGAGAATTCTCTATTTAAATGCATGAATATGTTATTATACAGTTGGCTGTGGTCTGGTGAGGTCAGCGGACTGGACGACCTTTGGGCTGAACATATGCATAGAAAATGTGTCATTACCATACTGTTGTAACCTTAATGTGCTTCAGTGGACGTTTGGATTGGTGGAGTTAATCATGTTCAGGAGACAATCTGTGACCTCTATTAACACAAGACAAATGACAGCGTATGAATTTTAATCTGACCTGATATGGAAATGCGTCTGACAGAGGGGGCTGATAACGGAGTCATGAATACATAAAGGATGACTGTGTTTAAAAAACTGTGATCAACAGCAGTGTTTGCTTAGTTTCAGTTCACTTTGGGCCTTTATTGGTAAAGCGCAGTCAGTTGAGTTAGACTGGGACCAGCTTTGCCTCTGAGATGGAAGAGCATCTGCTCAGCGCCGCATAGTACGACCGAATTAAACAGCTCCTGTTTCCTTCCTCTGAGCCCCATCTGCTTCTGCAAAGCTCCAGAGATGGTAATGGCCACCAGTCGCTGGAAGCTTTGCTTGACTATGCCTCACATTACAAGCGTGCACGATTACGGTGTGGATTTTGTTGGAGTTACACACAGCAGCTGTGTTCGAGTGTTGGTTATTGTTTAACTCATACTGTTCAAGGATTAAGCCTCGGCCTTTAGAAGGAGTGCAGTGTGAGTCAATGTGTCGTCCATATCTAAGTACCATCAAGCCATACGTTGTGAAGAGAATCACTAGAGAAGCTGTGGAAGTAAAACATGAACAGTTGTTTGCCAAAAAGTGAGTTTTTCATAGTATTTGTTCCAGTTATAGTTTCTAATTTATGTTGAGTGTCAGTATGTTTACTATCGTGCAACATTACGAACCTCGATTCCCAGAGAGTTGGGACAGTTTGTGAAATGCTAATGAAAACAGAAAGTAATTAATAAATTCCGTTTGGCCTGTATTAACCTTCTGAGACCCGCTGGTGCAAAACTGCAACAGTTGTTTAAAGAACTCTCTTTATGCCTGTGTCTGACTTACATCACTAAAACTACATTTCCCAACAGTTTACACTCTAAACTGTAGCACTGTGGTGGAAAAAAAGTTATATTCTGAATTTATTAGTAGGTTAAAATCAAAGCAAGTACATCATTTTTTTATTAATTTTTTCTTCATTCCTAACATGTTTAGTCCCAAAAAACTACAACAAACAAATAAAAGCTGTACATATACAAATTCAAGGCAATTTTTGTGAATGTTGGAAAAATGCAACCATGGGCATTAATGTTCACCACTTTCTGCATTATTGACGCAATGGCCCCATTTACTCCATTATAAACAATGGGCTCAAC